GGCGTTGAGAAAGCCAGACGGTCACAGATCACCTAATAAGTAACATGCCATACTATTTACAGATGTAATGTATTAATATACTTTGAACGAAAATGAGGATACACATTGTTGAATTTTTATATTCGATTTAACCTTCTATCAACACTCGGTGCAAAGCCCAATTCAGTTTTACAAGACCCCAACCCCGTCGGGTTCCTGACAAAAAAAAATATGGTGCAGTCATCCCGAGAAGCAGATGTTAGCTTTCCTTCCTGTCCCTTGCTTACTTACGAGTTTGAATTTTAAAGATGTCTATAGAGTTGCACCTGGCTATATTCGAAACAAACGGTCAACCTGTATATCCCTTCAAAATTCGCGTCACTGTTCCAACGAGGATAAAACAAACTAAGGGCAGTAAGAAGTGCATAATTACACATACTTAGTTCCATACCTGTCCTATCTAGTAGCCTTCCATTACTTCACGGTCCAACAAAAAGCATCTTTGCAATGTTTAGACTTCGCGCCACTATACCAATAGCAGCAAAGCAAACGTTAAAAAAGTTAGACTCATTGTACGATTAAACAATCGGTCCTAATAATAAGAAGGAAGATTGTGTTGATTATGTATGAAGCGTGAATGAAATAAATTATAATATAAAATTGTAAATTCAAATTATGTTCAAAATTCTGTCACACGAAGTATATTTCATAACCTGAAGCACTGTGCATGCCCCTGTAGGAATATTTGTGCAATTGCATGAATATAGTATCAAATCTTAACAAACTCAAACTTCCACTTTTTAAACAATCGTTACAACACTGGGCCATCAAGGGTTTTTTTTATAGTGCACCAGCTCATGTCTAAATTGAATGTCATATTCACAGACGAAAGTTCCTGTGATGTTACGATAATGTAGGACGCTTCAGTTACACCGCGTAAGATATTTTAGTGCATAGTTATATTTGTGTTATGTTACTTACCTGAAATCCTAGGATTTGCGATATGTTGCTAGAAAATACGGCTCCTCACACAACACCAAATTCTTACTACTTCGCGTCTTTACGCGAGTTGCCTGACAACTGTCGATGGCAAGGAATGAGCTGGACATGAGGGGGTTCAAGGTTCTTGATACTAGAGCCATCTATATCATATAATGCTGACTATATGTAATAACAGCTGACAGACCTCTACATCCTAATCGATAAGGCAGCAGACTGGTTGTAAACTAATGGCGTGTAAGACTTTTCTTCTTTAAATAATTCACTACTTACGTAATGTCGCAAAAAAAATACACACCTACATGCGTAAACCTCTTAATTAAACCAATTTATGCTATGTACATAATAGATTTATTTCCTTGCTGCATCCGTCCAGTATAATGGCCAAGGTAAAATTGTCGAGAACACAAATACCTATAATCAAGGAATGTACACAAATCTTGTGTGTTCGTTTAAATGTTCCTAATTTAATTATAAAAGTAAAACAATTAACTTTCTATTTTCACATGCTATCACCTCTTTTCAAACCACTGGGCACAAAATGTCTAATAAGCTTTCAACAGCATTCATATTAGAGGCTCATCACTCCAATATACACATATATGCACATTAATCGTTACAAGTAGTAGGTGTGACATATATTAAGTGCTATAAGCCAGTAAATGTAACGTCACTGAAAAATGGCACCAGCAAGCATGGGCTTCCATAAACTTTATGAAACGTAAGCACTTCTCCACAGATTCTACTATATTATGTGCAAATGTTGTTTGTTAAGAAAAAAATTTAAAAATACTTCAGAAAAAATCATTTTTCCATTCTAAATCATTACATGACTTATACACTGGGAAATACAGTACTTCATTTCAAGTGATAAAACTCAGCCAATAATGTCAAAACCATAAAACTTACACAGCATTTGTGTAGAAACTGTGTGCATACAATGGCTAACCAAAAGCACAAAAGGCAGAAAAACTAGTACTGATTGCACTCGGCAACAAACCCGCAGGACATTGATTTCAAGGCTTTACATAAAAATATCTGGACAGATGTTAATGAGCACTTGAACATAACAATGGAAGAAAGCTATTATAAAAAGTAAGAGATGAAGGAATTGTAATCTTTATTTTCAATAAACTTGTCTCATCTACAATTGAGGCCAAACTTCTACAATTGTGCAGTTTTCTTTAGAGCCAGTGGCTCTACAGAAGGTACACATAAGGTCTCAATGTACTTTCTTAAATATTTATCAAACAGAAAATCATTCTAATAAAATTTAAAGAATGTAATAAAAATACATGTTGCATACTGTAAATTTTGAGACACTATGAACTGATACAGAAATTTTATAAAATGTGACGAAACAGGATGGAGTGTACACGTGGGCCCTACCAAGTGAATCTTACAATCCCCAATCAAATAACGATTCTCAGTCATGTTGCCACAATTCTTCCCTTAAAACCAAGTTCAACAGAAGCTTAAAGGAATGTGCATTCACATGCAGATGTCTTGTTATTCTAATTAACATTTAACACAAATCTTCCTAAAACTTCTCAACATAACACCAACTGAAATAAACAGGTCTTCTAACACATTTGCTCATACACTCATTTAACATACCACATTCATAATAACAACTGCTCCCTCTAAATTTACGGAGAGAAAAACTTATTTCATTCCCCCTCCTTTATTTTACATATTTCTTTTAAAATCAGCTCTACAGTCAAGCACACTAAATATCTAGTGCTTCAAATTTCACTTTCTGATATCAATATATAATAAAAATGCATGTGAAGATATGTAGACTACAATACAATATAACAGCAGCTGTAAAAGTAATTTAATTTTCTAGTCCTTCATTTTTGATGCATATGTTTCCCTTCTTATTCTAGAAGTTAAAATTGAAATAAAAAAACCACAGTAACAGAACAGAAGTAAATGATTATGTTACGATGATTTAGTCTTCTTGGGTAATCAGCCACATAAGCATGCAAGAAGTTATCACAATTTCAGAGAATTTCTCTTCTCCTCATGTGAAGATAAAATGTACTGCTTAAGTACTATATATCACATCACTCCTTGACGATTGACGCAAGACACTCTCCAAAACAAACCAATCCCATACTCAAGTGGTTCATCTCCCGAGAAGACATCACTGCATTCCGTCAACATGAAAACTTCAAAACTTATGTGATTATTGTAATATCTTGCATATCCATACAAATAATGAAATTCTATTTATAAGATTTCTGTCTTCTGGGTTGTTGCGCTGCGTAGTCTGGTCGATGCCAACCAACGTTTCAGAGGTCATACTGCCTCCGTCATCAGGGCGGTGAGTATGAAGATTTCTGTTTTCTGGGTTGTTGCGCTGTGTAGTCTGGTAGATGTTTAGCAACGTTTCGGAGGTCATACTACCTCCGTCATCAGGGCGATGATGACGGAGGCAGTATGACCTCTGAAATGTTGGTTAGCATCGAC